CATCAGCCTGAGACCAGAAGAACTAGATGGTGCCTGGCTACCACCAATGACCACCCTGACAGGGAACACAACAGAGAGTACCTGACAGAGCAGGAGAAAAGTAGGGTGTAGAACTCAAATTCTAGTAAAAATACCAGACTTAAAGGTTTGATTCAGACTGGAGGGACCCTAGAAGACATGGCCCCCAGGCTGTCTGTTAGCCCAAAACTAACCCATTCCCAAGGCCAACTCTTCAGACAAAGATTAGACTGGACTATGGGACATAAAATGATACTAGTGAAGAGTGTGCTTTTTAGCTCAAGTAGATACATGAGACTAAATGGGCAGCTCTTGTCCAGAGGTGAGATGAGAAAGCAGAGAGGGTCAGGAGCTAGTTGAATGGACACAGGAAATCTGGGGTGGAAAGGAGGAGTGTGCTGTCACAGTATAGGGAGAGCAACTAGGGTCACATAACAATGTGTGTATAAATTTTTGTATGAGAAACTAACTTAAATTGTAGACTTTCACTTGACGCACAATTAAAAAAAATGTCTGAATGGCATCAAAGGGTGGGGCCTCTGACCTTGATGTCCCATGGCCCTGAATGCTCACCTAGGCAGCCCTTTTCTAACCGCCCATGTGAGGCTTGGCAAGTGGTTCTGGAACCTGCTCTGTCACTGAGGCCTGTGCACCCCTGAGTAACTCTCATCACATCTCCGGGCCTAGAAATGGTGAGCATGGGTCCCTAGAGAGTCAACAACTGTGAGCAGCCAAATGTGCCAGGCACTTTTCTGAGGACCATCTTATGCAACCATAACACAGTAGAATGACACATAGTAAGGATGTGTTGAATGCATGAACAAATGCTTCAAGGTACTACCACCTGTGCTTTAAACTTATGAAAACTGAAGCGACTTGCCCAACCCCACAGAGGGTAGTCAGCAACTGTTGTCATTAGTTGCCATCAAGTCGATTCTGACTCATGGTGACCCCATGTGTGCAGAATAGAGCTGCTCCATAGGGTTTTCAAGGCTGTGACCTTTTGGAAACAGATTATCAAGCCTGTCTTCCGAGGTGCCTCTGGGTAGGTTCAAATCACCAACCTTTCAGCTAGTAGTTGAGCATTTAACCATTTGCGCCACCCAAGGACTAGAATGGGAGTTTGAACCTGGATCTGTTTGAATCAGAAGTCTGCGATTTTCCCACCACAGTGGCTGCCAGGGGCTCCAGCTTCTTCATCTGTAAAATGGATATGGCTTAATAATGACCATTCCATTCCTTTGTAGCTTCAATGTCCGAAGTACCAAGAACTCAAATGTTCTGCCCATCATCCTGGCCCCTGGAAGGGGCTGCTGAAGTTGAGATAATCAATGTTTCTTCAGCATGAGACTCAAAGGGAGAGGAGGGTGATCTCAGGCTTCACGGGGCCTGTGCACCCTCTGGTTCACCTGAAGGTCAAAGATTTCACCCAACATGCTTCTCACTCTGTACTGAATGATATGGGGACATGGAGATAATTTGGACAACAGGTCCTTGTCCTTGAGAAGATCCCCTTCTAGTGGGGTCAGTGTGGATCAGCCCTCTGAGGGGACATCTAAGCTCTGCTGAGGGGTGTGTAGAGTTCTGGTAAACAGAAGAGGGCAAGGCAGGCTCCAAAGGCCGAGACACGAAGTGTGAAAGAGTGTGGCCCATTTGGAGAAAGGCCAGGAGAGGCTGTTGTGGTTGCAAAGGAGGCTGGGGCAGTGGGCAGAGAGGAGCCAGATCACAGGGTGCCTCCTGGCCCTGTTGAGGGGCCTGCTCACTCTGTGTTTCTTTCCTCATTTTATAGGTAAGAAAATGAGGCCCAGAGAGGTACAGCATCTTGCCCAAGGCCACCCAGAGAGCCAGTGGTGGAGTCAGGACTTGAACTGCAGTTAACAAGACATTCTGCTGACCATGGTGATGGTGGGTAGCCATTTTCAGTATAGAAATGACATAATTGGGATACTGCTGAAGTTAGTTAAAACTCCTCACCACTTGTGGATGACCTCGGGCTAGGTATGCAGCCTCCCTGGACAGAGTTTCCCTGTGACTGTTAGGGGGTAAGTGAGTTATTGCATGTGAAGTGGGAGGCCCAGTGTGTGGCACAGAGTAAGCACCTCATGATGGTTGTATATTAGCGGTAGGACCTGGGCCTCATAGTTCTGTGGCAAGGAGTAAATGAGATAATGTACACACACAGTAGTCACTCAGTAGATGGGAACTATTTTTATCAGCATTAGAAGGTTGGGTTGGAGGCAAGGAGGCTGGTGAGGTGGAGGCTGCAGGAACCCAGGCGGTAGGTTAAGGGGCCTGAGTTCAGGAGGGGGCAGCAAGAATGGAGAGGAGGGGCCCCCAACACAAGGACTGGGGGTGGGATGGAGGAGTGGGATCTTCTTTTCTTTTAGGAAAATGAGAAAATCTAGAAGTGTCAGAAAAAGAATTGACACATTTAAATTATGGTGTTGGCGTAGAATACTGAACATACCATGGACTGTCAGAAGAAGGAACAAATCTGTCCTGGAGGAAGTACAACCAGAATGCTCCTTAGAAGCGAGGATGGTGAGACTTCATCTCACTTACTTTGGACATGATATCAAGAGGAACCAGTCCCTGGAGAAGGACATCATGCTTTGTAAAGTAGAGGATCAGGGAAAAAGAGGGAGACCTTCACTGAGATGGACTGACGCGGTGGCTACAACAATGGGCCCAAACACAGTAACAATTGTGAGGATGGTGCAGGAGTGGACAATTTTTCGTTCTGTCGTACATAAGATCGCTATGAGTCAGAGCTGACCCAACAGCACCTAACAGAGTGTCAGAACAAATTCAGCTATTTTGGTAGCAGGGTGGCCAGTAATTAAGAGTGATGCTGGCATAGGATGCCTGGTACAGACTGTCCTGGGCCCTACATTGTCAAAAGACATTTGGTGTGATAGTTCTGACCATATCTATCAAAAAACAAACAACAACAGAAAACACCCACTTCCTCAGTGCTCCAAAGGTTGGCATAGCTTTTGCTATGAGATAGAATAAATTTTGTTGGAGAAAATGGGTACAGCTGGGGAAGCCTCAGTGAATAATCAAGCAGACAAATGCATTTAACTATTGCTAAACAATACACAGAGCCCTGGTGGTGCAATGGTTAAGTGCTCTGCTGCTATCCGAAAGGTTGGCAGTTCAAACCCACCAGCCGTTCTGTGGCAGAAAAGACCTGGTGATCAGCTCCCATAAAGACTACAGTCTAGGAAATCCCATGGGACAGTTCTATCGTGTCCTATAGGGTCATTATGAGTCAGAATTGACTCGACAGCACGCAACAAACAATACAGAGGATGAAATCTAAAAGATGCTTGTTCCTATAAATCAGAAGTCTCGTTAATATCAAAGATGGCCACAGGGAACCTGAATCTTCAAGGACAAATGATTCCACGTCAGAAAAATCACCACCTTTCCATTTAACGACAGCTCACATTGCAGAGGCTTCACTAGAATGTAAGCTCTATCAGGGGAGAGCTTTGCTTTCTTCACCAAGGCACTCCCAGCACCTGCCCGGCACACAGTAGGCACGTAAATAGTTGATGAATGAATGAACCACAAATGGGCAACTGGGCCAGTTTTTGGAATCTCTGGTCTGTGAAATAGGCACCAGCCAGGCCAGCAGCCCGAGGCAGTGGGATAAGGGCCCTGGGATCCACGTGCGTGTGCATAGAGGCCTGTCTGTGTCTGACCTCCGTCTGCCATCAAACCTCTGCAGGGGGCACAAAGGCAGTTTCAGCCAATATGCAATCGGATGGAACATCTGTCCAGAGGTGGATGTCGCCAGAAATGTGCAAGCATTGAGTGGATGGTGTTATGGATTGAATTGTGTCCCCTCAATATATTCTTGAAATCTTAGCTCCTATACCTGTAAATATGATCCTGTTTGAAAACAGGGTTTTCTTTGTCATGTTAATTAGGCCATGCCCAACTAGGACAGGTTCTAAATCTAATCACTTCTAGTTATAAAAAGACCAGAATGGACACAGAGACACACAAAGGGAGAAAAGGAAGGCAGACAACAGAGACAGATTCATCTACAAAGATTGCTGGCAACTACTGGAAGCTGAAGTAGACAAGGTAGGACCTCCCCCTAGAGCCATGCCTGAATTCAGCCTTCTAGCCTCCTCAACTGTGAGAAAACAAATTTCTGTTCTTTAAAGCCACCCACTTGCGGTGTCTGCACTTGGTATAGAACTAGCTAAGACAGATGGCTACCTGGCAGGGGTTCTGTGGGGTGTTGGCTTCTAGGGAAGGAGACAGCCCCAGGCAGAGAACTCCCCACCACTCTATGAGTAGCCCAGGATTTGACACTCTATGTACCCTGAGGTGGGTTTTCCTTCCCAAACCCACCCCTGAATTTTCCTCTTCTGAAAATTCAGTGATCCCCTGTGAAAAGCCACCTCAGCTTATGCCATGGAAAAACGCACTTCTACAAAGCCATTTTTGTGTTTCCTGTGAGGCCTAGGCAGAGGAGGAGGTACAGGTTCTAGGCCAGGCAGCCATCTCTGTGCTACCAGGCTCTGGCCAGTCCCTTGCCATTCTGTGTCTCAGTTTCCCCATGTGTCCCACGACCAGGTAGACGAGGTGAAGTCAGAGGGCCCTGGAGCCTTGGCTTGGCCTCCAGGAAGTAGCCTCAGGAGGCAGCCGACAGGTAGGGATGGGGCACATACCTGTTGTCAGGGTGGGGCAAATGCAGCAGCCTCTCGCAGGCTGGGGGATGAACACGGGGCGGTGGGGTTCCCACGGGGAGAAACAGGCCCTGGTGGCAGGTGGGGCCAGGGCCCTCAACAAGATCCGTGTCCAGCAGGCTCTTCTTCTCTGAGCCTGGGGTGCAGTGGCCGTAGCTCCCGTTCACTGGGCGGAGAAAGACAGGGAGAAAGGGGAGATAAAATGAGTGAGGGTGGCCTGCAGAGGGGCGCAGGGAGAGGCCAGTCATTGGGGTACAGTGTGGGACAGAGCACCCTTAACCCAATACTAACTGAATCCTTCCTGTGTTCAAGGCACCTGGGATACCTCCTTTAATTCCCATAATCACCCAACAGGATCAGTAATAAAATCCCTAATTTTCAGATGATGCTGAAGTGGTAAAATGGCCAATACACAAATATGTGCACTTACTATGCACCAAACACTCTGCCAGGTACAGGAAAAACTGATGAACAAGACAAAATCCTGGTCTCTTGGAGCTTACAGTGTATTATCCTCACATTATACACAGTGTGCTCATTTGAGATCTTGCAAGAAAGCATGCTGGGATTGGTGGATCTAGAGTTGACGCTGCCCAGCAGGCTGAGTGAGCATTACCGAAATAATGTATGTTAGGTATATGGCAAGCAATAGATGCTCATGGGAATGCCTGGGTGATGTAAACAGCTAACGTGCTTGGCTGCTAACCAAAAGGCTGGAGGCTCAAGACACCTCAGAAGAAAGTCCTGGTGATCTACTTCTGAAAAATCAGTCATTGAAAACTCTATGGAACACCCTTCTACTCTGACACGCATCAGGTCACCTGGTTACTGGTTAGGTGCTTACTAAACAGCATTTGTTATTGTTATTACCAAAGCTCAATCTACATTGTTTTCCAAATTGCATTACACCATAGAAATAGTATAGAGTTATTTATACCTGTGTGTTCTCCATGGTTCTTTGACAGCCTAGCTACCATAGGCCCTGCTTTGCCCTGCTCAGTGGGCTTTTACGAAAATTAACTAAGGCAGTTGATGTGAACACCAAAAACCAAACTCAAACCCATTGCCATTGAGTCGATTCTGACTCATAGCAACCCTATAGAACAAAGCAGAACTGCCCCATAGGGTTTCCAAGGAGCAGCTGGTGGATTTGAACTACCAATCTTTTGGTTAGCAGCTGTAGCTTGCCATGGCTCTTAACCACTGTGCCACCAGGGCTCCAAAATGCAAGATATGGTTATTGTAAGTCACCTTCTCTCTCTTGGGCTATTTTCTCATCTGTAGAATGAGAAGATTAATCTGGAAACGCTATTCTTTAAGGTTTTCTGCCCTGCCACGTCACAGGGTTATGCTAAGGAGGAAACGACATGAGCTTTAGGGCCTGACGGATCTCAGTGTGAGGACCTTTTCCCCAAACTAACTCCATGGCTCGGACAAGTCCCTCCCGTGGCTGACCCTCCGCTTCCCTGTGTAAACTGGGGACAGTCACACCAACTGCAGAGACGCTGTCAGGCTTTGGGAGCAAGCTGCAAAGTCCCTATACAGTGCTCGCACCTAGGAGTTGTTCCAGGAATGGAAATTGTTCTTATTGTCAAACAGCACATTGTCAAGTATAAAGTGCCCTACAGGTGATCCAAGTATTGTCTACGTTCTCTCAACATTGAGCAAGATCAGCCACTAAGATGAGAAGAGCTGATACCAGAACATTATCAAATCCTTAAATGTAACAATGACAACAACAGCAACATTTGTTGAGCAGTATGTGCTGGCTCTGGACTAGTGATTTACACTTATTATCTCCTTTGACCACCATGTGTCTGTCAGTTTGTTGCACTGTGGTGGCTGTGTGTTGCCGTGATACTGAAAGCACTGCTACCATTATTTCAAATACCAGCAGGGTCATCCTTGGTGGACAAGTTTCAGCTGAGCTTTCATACTAAGAGAGACTAGGAAGAAAGACCTGGTAGTCTGCTTCTGCAAAAATTGGCCAGTGAAAAACTGATGAATAGCAGCAAAACATTGTCTGATACAGTGCTGGAAAATGAGATCCTAAAGTTGGAAGGCACTTTGAGCTGCCTCCTCAAAGTGGAGCTGACCTTAATGACATGGACGGAGGCACGACTCAAAACAAGAAGAAACAGTTGCAAACAACCACTAATAATTGGAACGGGGAATGTACGAAGTATGAATCTAGGAAAACTGGAAGTCATCAAAAATGAAATGGAATGCATAAAGATCAATATCCTAGGCATTAGTGAGCTGAAATGGACTGGTATTGGACATTTTAAATCAGACAGTCATATAGTCTTCTATGCCGGGAATGATGAAATGAAGAGGAATGGTGTGGTGTTCATTGTCAAAAAGAACATTTCAAGATCTATCCTGAAGTACAACAATGTCAGCACATAGGATAATATCCATACAACTACAAGGAAGATCAGTTAATATGACTATTATTCAAACTTATGCACCAACCACTAAGGCCAAAGATGAAGAAATAGAAGATTTTTACCAACTTCTGCAGTCTGAAATTGATCGAACATGCAATCAAGATGCATTGATAATTACTGGTAACCAGAATATGAAAGTCGGAAACAAAGAAGGATTGGTAGTTGGAAAATATGGCCTTGGTGATAGAATGACACTGGAGATCGCATCCTAGAATTCTGCAAGACCAATGACTTTTTCACTGCAAATATCTTTTTCCAACAACATAAATGGCAACTATACACATGGACCTCGCCAGGTGGAATACACAGGAATCAAGTCCACTACATTTGTGGAAAGAGACGATGGAAAAGCTCAATATCATCAGTCAGAACAAGGTCAGGAGCCAACTGTGGAACAGACTATCAATTGCTTATATCTAAGTTGAAGTTGAAGAAAATTAGAACAAGTCCACAAGAGCCAAAGTATGACCATGAGTATATCCCACCTGAGTTTAGGGGCCATCTCAAGAACAGATTTGACGCACTGAACACCAATGACTGAAGACCAGACAAGCTGTGGGAAGACATCAAGGACATCATACATGAAGAAAGCAAGGGTCATTAAAAAGACAGGAAAGAAAGAAAAGACCAGAATAGATGTCAGAAGAGACTCTGAAACTTGCTCTGGAATGTAGAGTAGCTAAAGGTAAAGGAAGAAATGATGAAGCAAAAGAGCTGAACAGAAAATTTCAAAGGGCGGTTTGAGAAGACAAAGTATTATAATCAAATGTGCAAAGACATGGAGTTAGAAAACCAAAAGAAAAGAACATGCTCACCATTTCTCAAGCTGAAAGGACTGAAGAAAAAATTCAAGCCTCGAGCTGCAATATTGAAGGATTCTACGGGAAAATATTAAATGACACAGGAAGCATCAAAAGAAGATGGAAGGAATATACAGAGTCACTGTACCAAAGAAGAATTGCTCGACATTCAACCATTTCTGAAGATAGCGTATGATCAAGAACTGATGGTACTGAAGGAAGAGGTCTAAGCTGTAGTGAAGGCATTGGCGAAAAACAAGATTCCAGAACTAACGGAATATCAATTGAGATGTTTCAATAAACAGATGCAGCACTGGAGATGCTCACTCATCTATGCCAAGAAATTTGAAAGACAGCTACGTGGCCAACTGCCTGGAAAAGATCCATATTTGTGCCCATTCCAAAGAAAGGTGATCCAACAGAGTGCAGAAATTATCAAACAATATCTAATATCACATGCAAGTAAAATATTGCTGAAGACCATTCAAAAGCGGTTGCAGCAGTATATCAACAGGGAACTGCCAGAAATTCAAGCTGGATTCAGACGAGGATGTGGAACAAGGGATATCATTGTTGATGTCACATGTATCTTGGCTGAAAGCAGAGAATACCAAAAAGATGTTTACCTGTACTTTATCGATTATGCAAAGGCATTCGACCATGTGGATCATAACAAATTATAGACAGCACTGCAAAGAATGAGAATTCCAGAACAATTAATTGTGTTCATGTGGAACCTCTACATAGACCAACAGGCAGTCATTCAAACAGAACAAGGGGATACTGCGTGGTTTAAAGTCAAGAAGAAGTGTGTGTCAGGGTTGTATCCTTTCACCATACTTATTCAATCTATATGCTGAGCAAATAATCCAAGAAGCTTTATTGAAGAAGAATGGGGCATCAGGATTGGAGGAAGAATCATTAACAACCCGAGATATGCAGATGACAACCTTGCTTGCTGAAACTGAAGAGAACTTGAAGCACTTACTGGTGAAGATCAAAGACCACAGCCTTCAATATGGATTACACCTAACAGAAAGAAAACAAAGTCCTCACAACTGGACCAATAAGCAACATCATGATAAACAAAGAAAAGACTGAAGTTGTCAAGGATTTTGTTTTACCTGGATCCACAATCAACACCCATGGAAAACAGCAGTCTAGAAATCAAATGATGTATTGCATTGGGTAAATATGCTGCAAAACACCTCTTTAAGGTGTTAAAAAGCAAAGATGTTAAAAAGCAAAGATGTCACTTTGAGGACTAAGGTGTGCCTGACCCAAGCCATGGTGTTTTCAACTGCCTCATATGCGTGTGAAAGCTGGACAATGAATAAGGAAAGCCGAAGCAGAATTGATGCCTTTGAATTACAGTGTTGGTGAAGAATACTGAATATACCATGGACTGCTAACTGCTAGAAGAACGAAGAAATCCACCTTGGAAGAAGTATGACCAGAATGCTCATTAGAAGCAAGGATGGCAAGACTTTGTCTCACATACTTTGAACATGTTATCAGGAGGGACTAGTCCCTAGAAAAGGACATCATGCTTGGTAAAGTAGAGGGTCAGTGAAAAAGAGGAAGACCCTCGACGAGATGGATTGACACAGTAGCTGCAACAACGGGCTCAAGCATAACAAGGGTTTTGAGGATGGTGTAGGACCAGGCAGTGTTTTGTTCTGTTGTACACAGGATTGTTACCAGTCGGAACAGCACCTAACGACAACAACATCTCATTTGAGCTTCACCATTGCCTTCTGAGGGAGCTATTATTATTATTATCCCCATCTTAACAAATGAGAAAACAGAGACTCAAACCAAACCCGTTGCTGTTGAGTCAATTCTGACTCATAGTGACCCTATAGAATAGAGCAGAACTGCCACCACAAGGTTTCCAAGGAGCAGATGGTGGATTC